AACTGATGGTCGTCACTTTAAGTTGATCTTAATAAAATGATTAATAACTTATTTTAACAGCTTTAAGATGACAAAATCGAGACATAACTATAGTTTATGCCTAAAGATGAAAGAGGCATGTCTTCCATTCAAAGATGGAGCCAACAGAAACCTGTTGTATCGGTCCCAAAAAAAAAAAAAAAAGCAACTAAAGGCTGGAATACGCTACACTACTTTTAAAATGTGAACAGATTTTTAAAACACTAGGCTTCATACACTTACCTGCTTTGTAAATAGTTAGTTTTTTGAATATGTGTTACTTCGCTGAATGTGGACTAGTCTAGATGTTGCAATGTGCTTAAATGACACTTCACTATGAATGTATAACTGATCAAATTGAGTGCCTTATTGCTTGATTTTAGTGTTGTTGTTTTTTTTTGATTGACTTTGTACCTTCAAATAAAACTTTTTTCAATTATTCTTTAAAAATGTTGTTCAAAATAAACAAGAATTTTTAATAAAACATGATGTGAGCTTAATGGGAACAGGGGTTTGTACCCATTAAGCACAGCCAAACTTTTCACATTTAATGTATATCTTAATTCAAATGCTTTTGTCACTTAAAATAAAAATTGTGTGAGAGATTAATACTTTATTTTAATATAACTTGTACTGAAACCAATATCTTGTGCACTAAAAATGACTCAATGTAGATTTTGGTGAGCTTAATAGGTACGTTTACCCTACACGTGACCCCCCCCCCCCCCAATAATACCGAGGGGGGGGGGGCACCCTGGAGGCTGTTGCAAGACAGAGACACGGGAAGGCCTCCAGGGTGGATCAGGGAGCTCACGGGGCCATGGCGGAGCAGGCAGTTCAGGTTGCCATGGCGGAGCAGGGGACTCAGGAGGCCATGGCAGATCAGGCAGTGCAGGAGGCCATGGCGGAGCCTTAGCCGTCCACGGGCATATGGCCAAAAAATTTCTTGGAGAAAATTAGGACTTCTGGGGGACGATGGAGGGCTGGACGGGACCAGCGGAGGCGAAGGAGACTCGGGGGACAATGGAGAGCTGGACGGGACCAGCGGAGACGAAGGAGACTCGGGGGGACAATGGAGAGCTGGACGGGACCAGCGGAGACGAAGGAGACTCGGGGGGACAATGGAGAGCTGGACGGGACCAGCGGAGACGAAGGAGACTCGGGGGGACGATGGAGAGCTGGACGGGACCATTGGAGACAAAGGAGAACTTTCTGGAGCGGGGATAGGAGCCGAGAACTCTGGAGGTAGCTCCATGGCCATGAGCGCAGAGTCAGCGGCGGCCGGCGGGCTTGACGGCGAGCTGGTTCTGGATCGGGTATGGGCACTCTCCAGTGGTGTCTGGGAGGTCCACGGGGTGATGATAGTTGGCCCCGATCCAGAACAGAGAGTTAATTGTGGCATTGTCCAACGCCGTAGTAGCGGCGAGCCCGCAGAATTCCCAGGCAAACTCGATGAAGGGAAGATCCCTGCGGGCTAGAGCGGAGAAGCGAGCGGCTATTTCCATGGCCGCGGAGAGAAATTGGAAAACAAAAACGGAAAAGAAACACGGGGAGGAGAGGCACCGCTCACATTTTGTTGGTCTGGAATTCTGTCACGGTTTGCTACTGTGAGGAGCACGGAGCGAGGAACGAGGAGACGCAGAGTCCAATTCAAACATACAGTCTTAAATAACATCCAGGGAACCAGGAAAACACACGTAGCAAGGGTTGACATCAACAATTCCAGACAAGGGAGAACAGAATGGGCTAGAACTCAAATAGGGCAGATAACGAGGGGCAGACAGGTGAGAAGGATAACTAATAATGAGAAACACCTGGAACTAATAGAACTAAATGGGGACAGGAACAGGAAAGACCAAATAAGGACAAACAGGAACAAAACGGGAACATACAGGTGACAATATCAAAGGATCAACCCAAGTTGCATATATTTTAAAGAAATAATGCACATGCACACATCTAGTGTTTTAAAATAAGTTTTGAATGATAAAATGATACATACAATGTGAGGCATTATTTAAATATTGTCTTTTTTAAATCAATGTCTAGTGTCAGATATTTGTGGAACATGTCCATAGTTAAAGTGATGAAATACATCTGTGGTTATTCTGCTAGGACATGAGGGGAAAAAATAGATTAGGTAATAAAAATGCATAAGAAATTCGTTTTGAGAATGTTATTTGGTTTGATCATTTGTAATCAATGAAATCCACACATACTTTTTAATTGGGAATTTTATGAGACTCAACAATGTGTCATTAGAGGGATTACTTGCCATATATGTTCCTAAAATTAGCTTTAAGTTAACATTTAAGTTCAGCCAACCAACATCTTAAAATTAGATTTCAAATGTTCCGGACATTTGCTGCTGTCATCTGTATGACTAATGCATCTCCGATGTATCAATGCAACTGCAAATTTGCTGCAAAAGCTATCAGTATTGATCGTTTGATTTTGCAGTATTGAAACTTATTTGCACAAGCAAACATAGTGAAGATGTAGCCTTCAGCACCCCATCTAGAGGCCTGTTACCCAAAATCATTGTGATCTTTCTTGGCAGTTTATCAGTGTCAGTTCCAGGAAATCAAGACAATATGACAAATTATCAACCACATCTCAAGATATTCACCGTTTTCAGCCAGTGAACGAAGCTTAGCTTACGATGCAAAAAGGAAGCTTGGTAGCCAAGTCTTGCCTTTTTGAGAGTATATATACACAGCATTCAGCAGTGGTGGAATCAGGTAGCTCTGGCCTTCAAACAGCCAAAGTCTTGAGAGACCCAAGCAGACAGACAAAATGAAGACTATACTACTGCTCATTTTCACTGTCTTGGTCTCCAGCGCTCCTGTGGAACACAACGATAAGAACTTATTGGGAGAGATTATTGATGAGCTGGACAAAGCAGTGAAAATGTTCTCAAAAGAGAACAAGGTAAGATTTAACTAAAGGATAGTAACTATAGCAAGCCAAAACTGTCTATGTTAATATACAGGGCAGAATGTAATTGCAATATTGATTTTACCTGTTATTTCTAGGGAAATGAAATCTTCCTGACAAAACTGCAAATGGATGGCTGTAAGGTGAGATGATACTCATGGATTTTTATGAACTCACATCATTAGAATAATAAGATGGTATATTAATAGTTGGGTGTCTTTTATGTGCTTTATTGGGGTTGTTCACTTTTGTTGCTCTCCTATGTGGTAACATTTATGAGGCTGAAGCAAAAAATATTTTGTACAATCAAATTTGTGTCTTACGTGTGATTTCAATACCTTTGCAGCGTGAGGTTTTCTGCCAGGCTGAGCAAGAACTGAAAAAGAAGGTTTCTGGGCTGTCTGGTGCCAAATTTGACCATTTCCGTATTGACAAGAAACTAATGAGGAATTTAAACAAGTATAACGAGCGCCATGTGGTAAGTTGAACTCTGGAACTTGATGTTTTCTCTATGTCCTATTTGAGTAGAATAACCATAACATGTACTTTATTTCAGAAAACCTGCAAACCTGCTGATGAAGGCCAAGATGAAATCCTTCTGCATGCTTTCTTGAACAAACTCTTGACGTGTGTTAAGAGTGCATATAGCCAAGTCAAGTAAAATTAATTTATGAAGGATCAATATTATTATTTTTTGTCTTTTTGAGAGTATTATTTTGTTTACATTGTCTGTAGCAGTATGCAATTTTGTCCCTGAAATAAATTTGCATAAATATAATTTTTCAATCTTAAATATGGTCTGATGTTTTACAGTGCACGTTTTGTGCAGTATTTCTGTGAAGTGACTGAAAAGAACTTTTCAATGAAGCGGTGAGTGCGCACGAATATACTATGCGTTTTTAGAGAGAAACCCATGATGCATGTAGCGCACATTTCAAACTTATGTCCTGCTGAGTGTTGCTCCAAAACACCTGCCCGGACATCTCTAGTAATACTGAAGACCTTGATTAGCTGGTTCAGGTGTGTTTAATTAGGTTGGAGCTAAGCTCTGCAGGACAGGGGCTCTTCAGGAGCTGAATTTGACACCCCTTGATGTAGTGGCTTCTTGACCTTTTGTCCAGCACTGCAACGTCCATGCATGTCCAAAGCAGTGTCTCCTTTAACCATCACCACTTTATAGTTGTAGGTCCTTATTTTAGTTTACCTCAGGAAGTGAAAAACAGAGGTTGGGTTAATTGTGTTATTTATTTGAATGCATTAATCAGCAAATGTTAATCACAGATATTAACATTATTTTTCAAGCTCAGTTTGAATATTAAAAAACGTATGATGGCTTTAGATAATATATCAAAAGATCAAACCTAGTTGTATTTATTTTAAAGTTCATTTTAAAAATTAGTTCAGGTAATATAAAAATGCCTCAGAAGTTAGTTTTGAGAAAAGATGTCATTTGGTTTGATCGTATTTATGCAATGAATTTCATACATGCATTTAAAATGTGACTTGAGTGTCCAATTTTTTCAAGCCACTGTGTGAGACTCACCAGTGTGTCATTAGAGGGATTACTCGTCATATGTATGGTTTTAAAATTGTTTTTTACATTCGAGTTGCCAACTAACATATTAAAATTAGATTTCAAACGTTATTTATCATCGGGCATTTGATGCCGTCATCTGTATGACGAATGCATCTCCAGTGTATTCACGCAACTGCAAGTACAAACACCTGCAGATTTGCTGCAAAAGCTATCATTATTGATTGTTTGATTTTCCAATAATGAAACTTATTTGCACAAGCAAACATAGTCAAGATGTGGCCTTCAACACCCCATCTAGAGGCCTGTTACCCAAAATCATAATGATCTTTTTTATGATCAGTTTGTCAGTTCCAGGAAATCAGGACAATATGATTTCAAAATGTATCAACCACTTAATTAAGATTTTCAGTGAGTGCACTGTTGCAAATTATGTAAAAACGAAGATTGGTAGGCAAGTCTTGCCTTTTTGAGAGTATATATACACAGCATTCAGCAGTGGTGGAATCGGGTAGCTCTGGCCTTCAAACAACCAAAGTCTTGAGAGACCCAAGCAGACAGACAAAATGATGAAGACGATGCTCACTTTCACTGTATTCGCCCCCAGCATTCCTGCAAATCTCAGTGAAATGACTTTACCGGCAGAGCTTGAGGATGAGCTGGACATGGCAATGAACAATGTCCCGAAGGAGACCAAGGTCAGATTTAACTAAAGGATGGTAACTAGTATAGTAACTAGTAAGCTAAATCTGTCTATACTTTAATATACAGAGCAGAATGTGATTGCAATGTTCATTTTACCTGTTATTTCTAGGAAAAGAAAATCTTACTGAAAGATGCGATAAGTGACAAGATTTTAGTGGAAGCAACTGATGATGAGCTGGACACGGCAATGAAAAATGTCTCAAAGGAAAAAGAGGTAATATTTAACTAACTAGTATAGTAAGCCTAAACTGCCTACTTTAATGTGCAGAATATGATTGCAATGTTTATTTTACCTGTTATTTCTAGGGGGGGGGAAATCTTACCAAAAGGTGCAATAAGACTTTACCGGAAGAGCTTGATGATGAGCTGAACAAAGCAGTGAAACATGTCCCAAAAGAGGCCGAGGTAAGGTTAACTAAAGTGTAGTAACTAGTAGGCTGTAGTACTATAGTAAGCCTAAACCGTCCACTTTAATATGCGGAATGTGATTGCAATGTTCATTTTACCTGTTATTTCTAGGAAAAGAAAGTCTTACTGAAAGTTGCGATAAGCGATAATACTCCTGAAAGTCACAACAATAAGAACTTATTGGGAGAGATTATTGATGAGCTGGACAAAGCAGTGAAAATGTTCTCAAAAGAGAACAAGGTAAGATTTAACTGAAGGATAGTAACTATAGCAAGCCAAAACTGTCTATGTTAATATACAGGGCAGAATGTAATTGCAATATTCATTTTGCCTGTTATTTCTAGGGAAATGAAATCTTCCTGACAAAACTGCAAATGGATGGCTGTAGGGTGAGATGATACGTATGGATTTTTATTGTCTCGCAGCACTAGTACAATAGCTACTACAGCTTATAAGCTTGACTGTGTTCAGCTCTTTTTCCATTTCTGATTATCAAATCAAATCTGACAATCAAATTCAGAGGATTCAAGCCCTGGTCTTACGTGTGATTTCGATATCTTTGCAGCGTGAGGTTTTCTGCCAGGCTGAGCAAGAACTGAAAAAGAAGGTTTCTGGGCTGTCTGGTGCCAAATTTGACCATTTCCGTATTGACAAGAAACTAATGAGGAATTTAAACAAGTATAACGAGCGCCATGTGGTAAGTTGAACTCTGGAACTTGATGTTTTCTCTATGTCCTATTTGAGTAGAATAACCATAACATGTACTTTATTTCAGAAAACCTGCAAACCTGCTGATGAAGGCCAAGATGAAATCCTTCTGCATGCTTTCTTGAAAAATCTCTTGGGGTGTGTTAAGAGTGCATATAGCCAAGTCAAGTAAAATGAATTTATGAAGGAACCTATGGATGGCTGTAGGGTGAGATGATACGTATGGATTTTTATTGTCTCGCAGCACTAGTACAATAGCTACTACAGCTTATAAGCTTGACTGTGTTCAGCTCTTTTTCCATTTCTGATAATCAAATCAAATCTGACAATCAAATTCAGAGGATTCAAGCCCTGGTCTTACGTGTGATTTCGATATCTTTGCAGCGTGAGGTTTTCTGCCAGGCTGAGCAAGAACTGAAAAAGAAGGTTTCTAGGCTGTCTGGTGCCAAATTTGACCATTTCCGTATTGACAAGAAACTAATGAGGAATTTAAACAAGTATAACGAGCGCCATGTGGTAAGTTGAACTCTGGAACTTGATGTTTTCTCTATGTCCTATTGGAGTAGAATAACCATAACATGTACTTTATTTCAGAAAACCTGCAAACCTACTGATGAAGACCAAGATCCAATTCTTCTGCATGCTTTCTTGAAAAATCTCTTGGTGTGTGTTAAGAGTGCATATAGCCAAGTCAAGTAAAATGAATTTATGAAGGAACCTTTTTTTTGTATTTATGAATGTATTATTTAATTTGATTTGACTGTTGCAGTATATAATTTTGTACCTGAGGAAGGATTTATTTGCATAAATATATTTATTTCATTCTTAAATATGGTCTGTTTTTTTATAAAGTACAGATTTAGTGCAGTATTTCTGTGCAGTCACTGGTTTAAAAATGTGAACTATATTACTTGCACTGAAAAATAAATAAAATAAGAGCATTACACACTTAAGATTTACTGTCACGAATTCGGTTCATGGACTTCCGTTTATTCACCACCAGATGTCACACTTTCCATTACATTGACTCTCGCACTACACAAACTGTTGCATAGCACCCCGGACTACATTTCCCATCATTCTTTGCACAATTTGCACACTGCCCTGATTGCACTCATTGCACACAGCTGTTTCTAATTACCTCATTCACTATATAACACCCACTCTAACCACCTTTCTGGGCTGAGTATTGTTTAGCCTGTACCCCTTTCCGAGTCGCCATGTTTTCCTTGTTTTGCCTTGCCTGTTTCTGCGGTATCTGATCTTTGCCTGTTTTCCTGATTTTTTCCCTCTCGTCTCGCCCCTGTGATTCTGTCTGCCTATCGTCGACCCACGCTAGCCCTTGGATTATTCTTGTGTTTTGCCCGCCATATACCTGTCTGCCTTTATCTTACCCCTGCCTGTTTCATGACCACGTCTCTGTCTTTTCCAAAATAAAGCTTGCATATGGATCCGCACGTCTCACGTCTCGTCAGCCCCGTAACATTTACACTGTCTATACATTATCTATTACTTTTTTGTGTTCCTGATATTTTAAGATTCTTTACGTTTTATATTGCGTGACTTTATATTTTATCCATGCAAAATGATGACAGTGATGGACAAATCTGCAAAATTATTAAAACTGTGAAAAACAATCATTGTTATATTATCTGCGATCTTTATATTTATCATATGTTCTGTAGTCCACAAGGACCCTATACAAGCCACACTGATTAAAAGTCATTCAGCTGAAACATTTTATCATTGTTTTCTGAGAATCAAACCCATGACCTGAGTGTTACTAGCACTGTGCTCTACCAGTTGCACTACTTTTAGGAAGAGGTCTTAGTCAGTCATATATATATATATATGTATATGTATATTTAAATAGTCTTAGTGGCCTCAAAACATTTGGCAACCATGTCAAAAACATTATGGCACCAACTTCTACATTGAAAAGCACCTCACATTTTCTTCAGAAAATATTCAATCTAGTGCAAATTGTCTTTCTGCTTCTATTTAATATATGCCTCCTGCTTTCTCTTCTGCTTTTAGCTGCAACATGGGCCCCATAGTGGGAGCTCATGAGAAGATGTGGAGTGATAGAACCACACTGCATTGGTGCATGTATTATTCAAAGGCAATTCAAGAGCCAAGTGTGCACACATCCCACAATCCGGCATGCTTTTAAAGGGGCACGAATGATCAGATACCCATGCCTATCAGCCACAGGGTCAACTCTATTACAGTTTTCTGGTGTCACGTAGCCTCGACTTACTCTTCTCTGGTTAAAACGAGTGTCTTTGCATACTGGGTATTTTAATGCACTTCCCCTGACTCCTCACCAGTAAAGTAAGTGATTCAGGATTACATGTAGCAATAAAGATTACAACTGTACTAAAAAAAGTTTCTCTTTGTCACTTCTTGTCCTTCAGAGCATTTTGTAGGTTATTTCAGACAGGTGTTTCTGTATTTCTGGTCTTCTTTAAAATGTGTACTATAATTTTGAAATCTTCCCTTGACTTTGCCCGTGATATTTTCAGCATTAACATCTGATAGGGATGATGGTATTTAATTTTTGTCAATATTTTTTTAAATAATTATAAGTTCCACTAACTATAAGTAGCACGGGTATATTTGTAGCAATAGCCAATAATACATTGTATGGGTCAAAATTATAATTTTTAATTCCAAAAATCATTAGGACATTAATTAAAGATCATGTTCCATGAATATATTTTGTAAATTTCCTACCATAAATATATCAAAACTTAATTTGTGATTAGTAATATCAAATGCAACTTCAGTTGGACACCTTTAAAGGCGATTTTCTCAATATTTTGAATTTTTTTTGCACCCTCAGATTCCAGATTTTCCAGTTTTCAGATGATGTATAAATCTCAATTCCCCCCCAAAAAATTGACCCTTATGACTGGTTGTCACACACACACATGAAGAGTATTTGCAAAAATATATTTTTTTAATTTTCAAATCATGTTTTTTTATTATGTTATCATATTTTTATTGTGTTAGTTAGCTGTATTTTTTTTTGTTATTTTTAACCTAATCAAAATAACCCAACTAAGATTAATTGGAATGCGCAAAGAAAAAACGTGATTTTTAAAAAAAAAATTTAAAAACTGAGTTATCTGTTTTTGCAAATGAACTCGTGCGTGTGTGTGTGTGTGTGTGCATGTTTATGTGGTTTATGAAGGACACAAATTTGTATAATAACATGGGTATGACATAGGTACACTCTAAAAAATGCTGGGTTAAATACAACCCAGTGCTGGTTCAAATAAGGACAAACCCAGCAATTTATTTGTTTTGACCCAACAACCCAATTGCTGGGTTTGTCCCTATTTTACCCAGCACTGGGTTGTATTTAACCCAGCATTTTGTAGAGTGTATTACAACAAGAAGGTGATTTATGAGGACATTTTCAGTGTCCCCGTAAATCAAAAGGCTTATAAATCATTCAGAATGAGTTTTTTTGAAAATCTAAAAATGCAGAAAGTTTCCTGTGAGGGGTAGGTTTAGGGGTAGGGTTGGTGTAGGGCAATAGAATATACGGTTTGTGCAGTATAAAAACCATTACGCCTATGGAGAGTCCCCATAAACCATAAAAACAAACCTGTGTGTGTGTGTGTGTGTGTGTGTGTGTGTGTGTAAAAACAGGTAAAAAGTTGGCTAAATCATAATCAGTCTTAGTGTTTAATGTCCTCTTTCCATCATTTATTATGCTGGTATTATGCTTTACTACCATATATAAACTGCAGCAACTTGTGTATTTATTTATTTATTTACAAATACATTACAATATTAGGCTACTTACAGGTCCATCACTACACTCTAAAAAATGATGGGTTGTTTCAACCCAACTTTGAGTCAAATATGCAACTTTTATAACCCAACTTTGGGTTTAAATGCAAAAAATTGCATTTAAAAATGTAACCCAACAGCTGGGTTAGTCTATATTTGACCCAAAGTTGGGTTGAAACAACCCAGCATTTTTTAGAGTGTAGTCTAACTGGCAGTGTGGCAAAAGCGGACCGTAAATCGTAGGCTATAGCTACGAAAAATTAGCCACCAATACCCCAAAATGTAAAATAGTTACGCATTGTCATAAGACGGTGTTAGAGATTCGAGTAGGCTACAAAGACATACTAACACAACGGAGTCCGTTTAAGACACGCCCAAAATTCACCTTTGCAGGACAGCCTCAAGTTTCCCGGTAACAGTATCCCTTCGGATAACCCCGTGAGTTCTCGCTTTGAGACACCGCGGGCAAATGCCTAAAGTGGCTTGGCGTGTGATGATGATAGGAACGGACTAATAAAGCACACCGGGCTCGCTGTCTGCCTCGGCATTGGCTCCACTCTCATGTGTTGCTGCCGGCGCTGTATGAATAATTGAAGCGCCGGTGTCTTAACTCTGCCGTTCTCGTGTCGGCGCATGAACAAGCGCTCGTCCCGCAGAGGGAGAGGGGGGTGCGCCACATCTTCCAAGAGACAGTCGATGGCTGCATGGCCTCCACCCTCATTCTGTCAGATCTTCTTTGCTCTGAAACACAAACATGAATTCACTTTTCTCTCTCAGACACGCATGACTCCGGCAACCGCAAGTTCTCAAGTAGCCTATTATAGCCTAACAATAAAGGTAGTCTTTTAAATAGCCATTTTAACTGTATGAGGAGTTGGTTAAAAGGTGCTTTTAACGCGGACATTAAAATATGATTCATCCATTCTCTTTTCTAATGGTTTTTGTTTGTTTTGTTTTGTTTTTAAAGTGTCGATTTTCTAATTAGAAGTTCTTTGTGAAATTTCAAAAGCGTTCTGTAAAATCGTTGTTGTTTATTTTATTTTTTATATATATGTAGGCTCTTGTAGCTAAGTCCGATCATTTCCATAATCAGAAAATACACGATTCCTTTTCAGTTAGGCTATAGTTAGTTAACATGGCCTAAAATAAAAAATGCCTTTGTAGGACATAAAATAAGGAAATTCATCAAAATCTTTCAGTATTGTATCATTTCAGTTTCAATTTACTACAGGACTGAAATAGGCTATCCAACAGCCTATTGATCAAAAAAAGAATGAAGATATGTTTTCAGATGTTTATTATGAGATTCCAAATGATTCCATATTAGAATTTTTGAATGGAGAAAGGGTGATGAAAACTTAAGCCTAAATTGAGGCAGCACATTTCCTGCCATAGGATGTTCCTTATGACATGAGTTACTGGCCTATAGGCCCTCTACCTTTCAATAGATCATCAATTATTTAGTTGCCACCACTGGCCACATGCCCCTGCTCTGTGCTCAATTTAGATTGGTTTACACCATTGTTTGGGGGTTATTATATATAAAAAAAGTTGTTTTTAATTATTAATGATCTGCCTTCTCTAATGAATGTAACCCTTCTTCATAATCCCATTCATTTAACCACTTAAATTTGGACTGATGATACTTCTCGGCAATTAGGAAAGATTATAATTCAGGCTGGGGAAAAAAAAAGTCCGTACAATTAACAGGACGATTAACATACAATTAACGTTACTCAGTATTTTAATCGCTTAAACTGGCATTTCTTTCGTGCGGTAAAGAAAACGCTAAAAAACTTAAAGAAATGTGAATAATGAATATAGGGTTAGAACTTATTACAATCTAAAAAATGCTGGGTTATTTCAACCCAACTTTGGGTCAAATTTGGGTTAAAAATGTAATGTAAAAATTTAACCCAACGGTTGGGTTAGTCTATATTTGACCCAAAGTTGGGTTGAAATAACCCAGCATTTTTTAGAGTGTATTGTGCCTAAAAACGTAATATTTCATGCATTCTAATACTAATTTGGGCAACAACATCGTTAGGATAATAATGATTAAAATACCCAGTTATTGCACACACACACACACACACACACACACAAAAAAAATAGAACGAAACAGAACCGACATTAACTGATTAAGTTATACACTCTTAAAAATAAAGGTGCTTCACGATGCCATAGAAGAACCTTTTTGGTCAAATTGGTTCCATAAAGAACCTTTAACATCTAAAGAACCTTTCTGTTTCACAAAAGCTTCTTTGTGGTGAAGGAAGGTTCTTCAGATTATAAAAAGGTAAGAAAGAGATGGTTCTTTAAAGAACCTTTGACTGAATGGTTCTTTGTGGAACCAAAAATGATTCTTCTATGGCATCGCTTGAAGAACCTTTTGAAGCACCTTTATTTTTAAGAGTGAGGCTCCATTTTTTTTTAATTCACGTAATATTCTTAGAGGAACGTACAGAGGAAAATAATTAAAACATTTAAAGATATCAAGCAAAAACATTTAAGGACATCAGCCTTGTAAAAGAAAAAAGAAAGAATAGTTCCATGCGAATTTGTTAAAAAATAAAACTCTTGAGTAAAGCGCATTTGAACATGTTCTCACTTTTAACATTTTTACCTTTTAATCTAACTTTTTCGAAAATATCATATACCTTTATTTTTGTATAGAATAACACGTAAATATATAACAACATCATCTTTAACAGAACTTCACAATTACTTCTTGAAACCTGACAGTCAAGTGAGGCACAAAACGACTCGGATGATCATCGTTTTACCTGAACAGCGTCTCTTCCTCCTTCCCTTGAGCCTGTACGAAGCGTTTCCTGACTAACAACTCTCCCTTCAGCTCTCTGCCTGTTTTATACCAATATACAATTAATATTGCATCGTCATTACTTAATAATTTCAAATCCCTCTGCACAAAGCCGTGACAGACATGTATTATTCAGCGGTGTCTGCTTAAACAAGTTGGCAACCCGAATTAGAAAAAAGGAAAAAAACGCTCAAAGTTAGCTTGAATTGTTCTTTTTGTTCTCTCTATAAATTTTCTTTAAATTAGGTGGTGATTAGACTATATTATTTCATTAATGTTTGAGCTCAAGAAGCTAATTAATAAAACAACACCATGTTTAAAAATGAATGATATTACAATGATTTTTGTGCGAGTTGCTTTCTTGATCTAATGTATGTAAGATGAAAACTGTGCATCCAAGTGCATGTGTGTGTGTGTGTGTATATATATCTATACAATCCGCCTGGGTCACTCCGAGCTTTATCCTCCGCTGCTTGAACCTCTCCGCGAACGCCTCAAGCTCTCTGGGATCGGACTCCACGTCGTTGACGCACGCCATCCCGTTGTGGACCGACAGGGTGTGCGGGTGGCCCATGGCCATGGCTTGGTGCAAGTGACCCATTTGCAGGTGGTGCTGGTGGGCTTGAGTGGTCATCACCGACGGATCCGGCGGCGCACCCATGCCGCTGACCGATAAACTGGAGGAAATGTGGTCGAGCAGATCCCCCTCCAGGGTCTGGTGGCTGAGGTGGTGGTGGTGGTGATGGTGGTGGTGCGAGGGCAGGTTGGATGAAGGGTGGGATATGGGCACTGTGGATGAAGAGGAGGTGCAGGGCACGCTGCTCATGGTATGGTAGGTGACGTCCGTCTTGAAAGGGTGACTCTTGCAGTGAGACGCGATGTCAGCCGCCGCCAGAGCTTCAGCGCGGGCCAGCAGACTCTCATCGAAGCCGCTGAATATATTGCCCTGGAGCTGCAAGCAAGAGCGCGCATATGGAAGTCAGTGGGGAATTGTGTCAACTCCGGATTAAAGAACATTCCCAAGCACCCTCCTCAAAGCACAGGTCATAAAAATTCATATGAAAGCAGCAGCTTTGCTTGGATAGGCATGTGGGGGAGAGAGAGAGCGCGCGCGTGAGCTCAGAGGAAAGAAAGGAGAGGCCGGGGAGGGAGGGATGGATGGATGCCGGAGCAACTCAAAACACCTCAAAGTGACAGAACGAAGACAATACGAGGAATTTAGCGTGAGACGTACCTGCGGGGCAGGCAGGCACACCCGCCGCATGCCCTCGGAGCTCGGGTGCAGCGCAGGGTGCATGGAGAAGTGCTGCTTGCCGTTCATGGCCATCATCTTCGCTGCGCACCTTGCAGGTGAGTGGACCTGACATGGAGGCGACGCGGCGCTCTGGCTCGACGCTCCTCGTGTGTGATGTTTCCATTGGCAGCGCCTCCGGGGCACCCCCCCCCCCCCCCCCCCCACCCCCCCCCCCCCACCCCCCCCCCCCCCCCCCCCCCCCCCC